ACATTTCGAAGTGTCTCACCATTTATGTTATATAGGTCATGATCACCATATCCCCCCAAGTGGAGGACTTTACATTTTTCTATATTAAATTCCATCTGCCATTCTCGAGTCCAATCATGAAGAGTATTCAAATCCAATTGTAGTGCTTTCTTGTCGTTTTCGGAAGTAATTTCCCTTGCTAATTTAATGTCATCGGCAAACTTCCAAAAGTTTGCTTGTTGCTTCGAGTCTATCAAATTTACAAAAATGATAAACAATAAAGGGGCTAGGACCGTACCCTGAGGTACACCACTTCTAACATCCTTCCAATCCGCTTCATGTCCGTTAAGTATTACTCTCTGTTTACGTGCTAATAACCAGCTCTCAATCCAGTTGAGTAAAGCCCCGCTAAGTCCATGAATTTCTAATGATGTTAGTAATCTTCTATGGGGAACTTTATCAAAAGCCTTACAAAAATCTAAATAGACTACTGATACATTTTTACCTCTATCTACAAGGTCTGTTACATACTCAAGGAAATCTAATAAATTTGTCAAACATGAACGACCACTTCTAAACCCGTGTTGAGATGGCAACAGAAGAGCTTCTCGCTCCAAATGTGCCAGTATGTGTTTTTTATTATCTTTTCGATTATTTTACATACAAGAGAAGTGAGACTGACTGGCCTGTAATTTCCCACCACTGTTTTGTCTCCGCCTTTTAATATTGGCACTACGTTAGCATGTTTCCAGTCATCAGGAATTTGACCAGTATCTAAAGAGTTTTTAAAAATAATATAAAGTGGCATGGACAGCTCTTTCGCTGCTTCCTTTAAAATTCTGGCAGATATACCATCTGGACCACCCGTCTTATTTATTTTGAGGTTCTGTAAACATTTCAGAATGTCCTCATGATTAAGAGGGATGCTCGTAAGCTTCTGTGAGCATGCATCGTTTTTATTGGTGGGAATGTTTGTAAGACCCTCATCAGTAAATACTTTAGAAAATTGATCATTGAGAATCTGAGCCTTATCAGCGTCTTCGTGATAAATTATTCCATCCTTTCTAATCGGACAAATTCGTGCATCATGTTTGTTGAACTTATAAAAACTTAAAAATCTTTTTAGGTCTCCACCGCATTCATTAGCAAATCGCATCTCTGTTGTACGCTTTGTTTTACGAATCATGCTTTTTAATGTTCTTCTGGCTTTCAAATACCTGATCGTTTTTTCAACAGATGGATTTGATTTAAATTCACTATATGCTTTTTTCTTTTCATTGAAACATTTTTGTACCGACCAATTAAACCAAGGTGGTTTCGGTATTTTACCTCTCCGCCTCCTCCTCATGGGAATAAATCGTTTCTGGGCCTCAGTGAGTACATTTTTGAAAACAATCCACATTTCGTCAACATTTTTACCTTCAAACATTGCGCTCCATTTCATACAAGTCAAGAACGATCTGATTGCATCATAATCTCCCTTGGCAAAATTTGGAGTAATATACATTCTAACACCTTTCTTCTTCAAGCGACAATTTATGCTGAATCTTATGATAGCATGATCACTATTTCCAATGGATTCTCCCACCATGACATCTGTAATTAAGTTTTCATTGTTAGTTAGAACCAAGTCAAGTAGTTCATCTTTTCTGGTCGCCTGCAATACATGTTGTGTCAGGAACAATTCTTCAAAATTTTCCCTGAATAGAGTAGTTTCCCACAGGGTTTCGGAGTCGGAGTCGGAGTCGGAGTCGGAGTCGCCCGGAGTCGTGGCAAGCAGCCAGGAGTCGGAGTCGGAGTCGGAGTCGGTCCAGCTGCCTCGAAGCGTGACGTCAGCTGTGCTTCCGAACCACATTGGTACGTATCAGGGTTCCGCGCTCGGGCCTCTGCTATTCTCGATTTACGCGAACGATTTACCTCTGTACACGGACGGCGCGCACGTGGTGCAATATGCGGACGACACTCAGGTGGCGGTCTCTGGTGGGATCGGCGACATCGGCTCCCTGGTGCAGCAAATGGAACACAACCTGGCTTTGCTCTCTCGGTGGTTCAGCAAAAATGGCATCAAAATCAATGCACAGAAAACACAGTTTATCATTCTTGGCTCGCGTCAAAATATTCAACGTCTCGGACCAGTCAACATTAAATTCATGGATGCCGATGTCGCCGCTTCCGCCACTGTCCTCAACCTGGGTGTCACATTTGACCAGCACATGACTTTTACCCCTCATGTGGACAATGTAGTGCAGCGATGTACCGGAATGTTGTGCGGACTGAGCCACAGCAGGCACAGTCTACCTCAGTCCACCCTGCTGACACTCATTCAGGGCCTCGTCATCTCACGCCTTTTATACTGTCTGGTGGTTTATGGTGTGTGCGGCAGCAGTCAGATGAAGCGTATTCAAAAAGTGTTAAACTTTGCCGCACGCGTTTTATCGGGACGGAGGAAATCTGCGCACATTAGCGATGTACTTTATCAACTGGACTGGCTTACTGCCGAGAACATGTACCTCTATCACGGCCTCGCCCTGCTGAAACGGATGCTGCTGTCATCGCAACCCGAATGTATTGCTGGTGGCCTGGTCACACGCAGGGACGTCCACCAGCGTATCACCCGTAACGCCGACCACCTTATCACGCCGGCGATTCGGTCCGAGTCGGGCAGGCGCCGCTTCCTGTACCATATTGTAGTCGCATACAACGATTTGCCAGCCGCGATATGATGTCGAACAGGAGCCCAGTTTAAAAAGGAGCTGCGGCTACATCTGCTAGGGAGGCAACGGAGTGGAATAGGCTAGAAATGTAGAGAATCTGGCTGGTCATTTGAGCTTGCATATCTTACCTGTGTATGACTGCAAAGCGTGCATGTATGCGTGTGTGTGATTGTGTGTGCTCGTGTGCGTGCTTGTGATGACCACAATGATCATTCGTTTAATCATATTGACAACGGGGCACGGAATAGCCACATAACTGTGTGGAAGTGCTTCATGATGTGTAATACAATACAATACAATCCGGAAAGCTAACTGAAGTCAATCCGTGCTATCACTATTCAGTTGTTTTTAACCAGTGGCCCCACGGCAAAATTCGCTTCCGGTGATCACAAATAAGGTATGTTTTCACACATATTGTTTTTGTTCTGAAAAGCTAACATTGCATCTTACAAATTTCAAGTTCTGTCATGATTTAGTTGGCAACTTGGCAAGTATTTTGTATTCGCGTTATAACTTCTACTCTCCAGTGTCAAAGACTTAATGACAACTGTATATTTACTTTCTTCTTTTATCGCTCCGAAAAGTGCCTTACACAAACACAGACCGACATGATGGCGATGCCCGTTACCGTGGTCATGATACGGCCACATTCGAGTACTTTTCGGCGGGTTTTCAAGCTGGCCGCCGGCCGCTGGTCTCTAAGGATTCAGCAGCGTCCACGTGGGAGAAATGGTGACCGCATGAACGAAACCGGAGCGTTCTCTCGGTGGGCGAAAAGGGTGTCCGGGACTCCGGAAAGTTCTGGCGCCTCTTTTGGATGTCGTCTAACGCGCGCTGTGATTATTGGACTTTCAACCAATCACCGCAGATATGACCCCTTGTTCACCGCTCAGCTAGGGGTCGCTAAATATGACCTTGAAACCGTTTTCAGTGCCATAGGCGGCGGAACGAGGGGGCACCGGGGCACCGTGCCCCCCTTTGATTTTGGCATTTTAACATAGCCTTTTCCATGCATGCATGGAAAGAATGGGACCAAAAGTCGGCAGTGCCCCCCTTTAATTGAAGGTGTTCCGCCGCCACTGTTCAGTGCTAGGCATATGGGCGAAGATGCGCCTTGTCGCTGAGAGCCCGCGCTCGGGGGCCCGGTGCGGCTTGAACGAGGCGCGAGTTGCAGCGCGATGCGGCGTTTCCCGGCGAACGGTTGAGCAGGCAAAGGTGCATTTCGGATTGGAAATTTCTTTGAAAATATTCTCACTCAGTTACGACTACGGTGGGGTCTGATGGACACAAATGTTCCATTATCTTCGCCAAGGTCAAATAAATGACTGACAGGCTAGTCCACGAGGGGTTCCTGGACACGACAATCAAGGCGACTTGCCCTAAGGGTCATTTCGCACTTCAACAGCTCCAACAACGCCACTGCCGTCCAAACCAAACTGACAGAGGAGCTCGGCGGACCAGATCACCGTGGTGAAATGAGAATAGGCCACCTTATTATCCCAGCCTTAACTCGCCGCTCGACTAAGGCATGCTACGCGTTTTGCAGAATAAACTCTTAGGCCACCTCTCATCCCAGCCTGGAGTCGCTGAAGACTCGCATCATGACAGCATGGGAGGACAGGAAATGTCCTGCATCGTCAAAGCCCGCAGGCGTTTCCGCCCTTGCGTCGAGGCCGTCGTCGGCACAGACGGTGGTTACAATTAATGGGCACTTAACAGAAGCATGTGGCTTGGTGTTCCTTCTCATTATTTTGTTCTATTTTTGAGTATCTATGGACCAAAGGCATTTATTTAAAAATGTTGAAAAACGCCAGGACTTTCCGGACACCCTGTAGAAATAACACGGCGCGTCATATCACGCGGAATTTTGGCAGCCACCATTGCCCTTTGTATCAGACCCGGAGTCGGAGTCGGAGTCGGAGTCGGAGTCGGAGTCGGTCAGGAGCCCGGAGTCGGAGTCGGAGTCGGAGTCGGAAGAGCACTACCACGACTCCGAGTTGTGGCTTGTTCCTTCTTTTGACAACTTTGGGAGATTGAAATCTCCTAAAAGGACAGTATTTTTATCTAGGCCTCTTTCTATTTCATCAACCATGGCCAGATCCGCTTGCTTTGATTGATTAGGAGGTCTATAGAAAGCTCCAATTCTAATTTTACTATGGAGACTTCCATCAGGAAAGATGTCAATCCAGAGGGATTCGACCTCACCACTTTCATTAAAATGTCCTAGTACGGATGGCCTTAGGTTTCTTTTCACATACGCTAAAATTCCACCACCTACTTGTTCCGACATTCGGGAAAAAATGTGGCTTAAAATGACGGTTTCTATTAACTCCATTCAACACCAAAGCATCAGAGCCGGTTCAACAGCGACTACATGATCATTGCAGCTTTAGTTTACATGATTGAATAGGTTTTAAACTGTTCCGAGCAAAATTAAGCCACATTTACCACTTAACTCATTCTATGGCATTTCACGTATATGCAAACAGGTAAATCAGTGCCGTTCTTCCTTTACATGATTTACATTCGCTCGTTCTCACTGCAACTAAATATCGCTGAACACATATTTTCTCGCGGCTTTCCAGATGAAATACCTCCGGCTTGAGATGACGGACCACTAAATAAAAACACGGATAAATTGTCGGCTAGTCGCAACACTCCCCCCAGTGTTCTACTGGGTAGAACACCAATAATACGTGCGACTACTGGCCTATATGACATGACACGAACACTGCCCTTTAGTCCATTGATTTGCAGCATGCACATCCTCCAACTTACTGCCCGAGCGCTCAAGCTTTCAGCTCAGCTCCACTCCCGCTTCACTGGGATCTCTCACAACTTTCCAAGAAGCAAACTTTGTTTGCCGGACGACGGTAGACGGATCCTCTTGCCGTCTGCAGCGACACTGAGCGCACTCGACCATCATCGCTTGTGGTTACTTCTGTGATCCTCGCCAGCGGCCAGTAACCTCTGGGCGACTCTTGATCCACCATGAGGACGACATCACCAACTTGTAGATCTCGGGTTTCACGCACCCACTTCTTCCGTTGAATCAGCAGTGGTAGGTATTCTTTCTGCCACCTTCGCCATAGCTGATCGGCGAGTGCTTGGGACTGCCGCCACTTTCCACGGCCGAGGACATCACTTTCAGCGAAGATGCCAGGCGGGAAGGCGGCCTCCGGGTAGCCCAAGACGAAGTGGTTCGGAGTGAGGGGCTCCGGGTCACCAATGTCCGTGCTGACATAGGTCAGCGGACGGCTATTGAGTACAAACTCAATCTCCGTCAGTACAGTACACAACACTTCTTCTGAGACGCACTGGTTTCCGAGCACGACCCGCAGAGCACGCTTGACCGAGGATACTAGTCGCTCCCACACTCCTCCCTTGTGGCTTGCGTTAGGTGGGTTGAACCGCCAGTCAATCTGTCTTTGGCTGAGTTCATCGACGATCTTCTCCTGGTTCCATTCATCCAAACAGACCTTGAGCTCCTTCTCTCCTGCCACTAGGTTGGATCCGTTATCAGACCAGACGACACGTGGCCGTCCGCGGCGGGCGACGAAGCGCCTAAACGCCATGAGAAAGCCGTCTGTGTCCATGGAGCTGACGAGTTCCAGATGCAAGGCCCGAGTCGCGAGGCACGTGATCAGCAGGATGTATCGTTTCTCAGTCTTGCGAAACTTGCGAACCGTCAGCGGCCCACAGAAGTCGAGTCCGACGCATGCAAACGGCTTCGTCATGTCAAATCGACTCGCCGGCAGGTCTGCCATCATTGGCGTCTGAGGCTGCGCTCTTCTGTTTCTGCAGAATGCGCATCGGTGTAGCATCTTCCGCACAGTTGATCTCGCCTTCGGTATCCAGTATTGGAGTCTCAACTCACTGAGTGTGTGTTCCAGACCAGAGTGCATGACGCGCTGGTGTACATCAGTCACAATTAGTCGGATGATGTCTTCGTCCTTACCAAGCGGGACTGGATGGCGACAGGTTTCTGGCACCGGCGCGTTACGAAGCCGCCCTCGGGCTCTCAGCAGGCCTTGTTCGTCTACGTACGGGGAGAGCTGATGTAAGATGCTTTCTGTCGGCAGTCTAGATTTGCTAGCAGCAGCTTGCAGTTCGGCGGGATATGCGGACTTCTGAGCTTCTTTCAGAACAAACATCTCGGCGGATTTGAGTTCTTCGGCAGTTAAAGGCCCACTGACTCGCATGCCGCTTCCCTTACTTTGTTTGGCGTTCTTGGTGAAGCGAAGAACCCATGCCACGGTACGCTTGTACTTCACCCACGATGAGTGTCGAGCTGGGTCTAGCAATGGTCCATCGCTGTGGTGCGCCGCAAAGAAGACTTCACGTGGAGCCTTCACCTCCTCATCTGCTGCGGTCAAGGTGGCCGCGACTTCTTCCTCAGAAGGCCATCTCTTGCGATCTTCAGTCAGGAATGCTGGTCCCGACCACCACAGGGTGCACGTTTTGAGCTGTGAGCCAGACAGGCCACGAGAGCACACGTCTGCGGGATTTATCTCACCCGGCACATGCCGCCACTGACTTGTTTCAGAGGACTCATGAATCTCTGAGATCCGGTTGGCGACGAAAGTATGAAAACGTCGGCTTTCATTTTTCAGAAACCGAAGTACGACGGTACTGTCTGTCCATAGTAGAGTTTCATCAACACCAGTAGCCAGCTCCCGTGTGATGAAGTTGGCGAGCCGCACCCCCAGCACGGCCGCTTGTAGCTCGAGCCGAACTATAGTTAGTTGCTTCAAGGGCGCCAGCCGAGTCCGGGACATGAGGAAGGAGGTGATGTGCTTGCCATCAGTACACGACATTCTGAGGTATGCCACGGCTCCAAAGGCTCGCTCAGACGCATCGCAGAAGATGTGGAGTTCCCGGCGCATCACTTGACTATCCTGCGCAAAGCCGGCTTTGTAACATCGGGATATCTGGATATCTTCGAGGTGAGGAATTTCCATCAACCATGCCTGCCAAGCGTTCAACTCTTCTCCACTCAGTTCCTGGTCCCAGTCCAGTTGCAGCTTCCATAGGTGCTGGACAAGAAGCTTCGCTCTCAAGACAAAGGGAGTCACGATGCCCAGCGGGTCGAAGACCATCGACAACTTGCGCAGCACCCCTCGTTTTGTCGCCGGAACATCTGCAGCAGACACTTGGACTGCCATGACATCACTTGCTGGATTCCAGACACAACCAAGAGCACGCTGGGTGCTCTGGCCGAGAGAGCCGATGTCAAGACTTGCAGCACCTCGATCTTCACTTGGAATCTCTCGCAGCACCTCTTCACTGTTGCTGCACCACTTCGCTAATCGGAATCCACCCTTAGCGACCAGCTTAGTCACCTCCGACTGCAGAGTCTTTGCTGTCGAGACGTCTTTCACCGATGTCAGCAGATCATCCATATAAAAATTGTTTCTCACGGCGTCAGCAGCAGCCTTTGACTCAGGCAAATCCGTTTCGTGATCAGCAGCTGTTCTCAGAAGAGCGTGATTTGCCAAGGTCGGGCTACATTTTGCTCCAAAAATCACGACCGTCATCTGGTAGACATCAGGAGGCTTGCTTTGGTCCAGGTTTCGCCAGAGGAAACTCAGAGCCGGCTGGTCCTCTTCAACCACTCGAACTTGGTGGAACATCTGTTCTATGTCTGCGACTAGAGCTACTCGTTCCTCCCTGAAGCGCAACAGGACACCAACCAAGTTCCGGAGGAGGTCTGGGCCGGTTAACAAGACATCGTTGAGAGATACGCCAGAGAACTGGGCCGCTGCGTCGAACACAACTCGCACTTTGGTCTTGTTTGCGCTGACCACCGCATGGTGCGGTAGCAGCCATCTCTTGTCTCTGTTCTTCAACAGTTCTTCCGAGGAGACCTTGCGAGCGTGATTCTTTGCGACATAGCCCATCAGAGCTTCTTCGTACGCTGCTGCTCTCGTAGGATCCCGCGACAGGCTCCTCTCCAGCGACTCCAGTCGCCTCTCTGCCATCTTGCGATTGTCAGGCATCTTCGTGTCTTCTTGTTTCCAGAGGAGTCCTACTTCGTAGCGACCATCTTGCAGCTTCGTGGTGCTATCGAGCATAGTCTGGGCTCGAGTGTCCTTCTGAGAATAAGACGCCTGGCCTTCAAACATGCTCCCAAACGACTCAGTCGTCCACCAGTCGCTTATCGCTGCGCACAACTGGGACTCCTCAGATGAGTGATGAATCAGCATAACATCACGCATCTGTCCGGGAACGAGTCCAGCTACAGAGCCTGTCAGTGTCCAACCGAACACAGTTCTGATCGCGACAGGGTCACCGGGGCTGCCGGTTCTCACTTCTAGCTGTAGGACCGCCTCAATCACGTTAGCTCCGAGTAGGAGTTCCACCTTGCGCCCACGGCAGTCCGGCAGCTTCAGATCATGCACATGCCGCCACTGTTTTGCAGGATAATGCGGCACAGTAAGATTGATCTCCTTTACTGAGAAGGCTTCTGGCACTGAAACAGAGTAGACTTCCTCTCCCTCAGTCAACAGATTTAACTGCAGACGTCTCGTGCGCTGCTGGGAGCCATTCCCTTCAACATTTCTCAGTCGCAAAGTTTGGCGCTCCCCCTGGAGTCCGAGTTCTTCCACGACATCTTCTGCAACGAGAGAAGTTTGTGATCCTGGGTCTAGCAGCGCACATACCTTCCTGGTCTTGCCGTTCTGGCCGACGACGGTGACCTCCACAACCTGGAGAAGAGTAGTGACCTGTTCCACAGGCAGTGACGACGCAGCAACCACCCGTTGGCCATCAGGCTCTGAGCTCGGCACCGACCGGCTGGCCTCTGTACCGAGACCGACCCTCCTGCTGCCGTGCAACACCAGATGGTGCCTCATTTCACAACCCTCGATGCCACATCGCCTTGCAAAGCGGCACTTTCTGACGGCGTGACCTGTCTTTAAACAGAAGAAGCAGGCACCTGAGCTAGCAACAAAGGCAGCTCTCTCATCCACTGACTTGCTGAGGAATGCGGGGCATACAATAACGTCATGGGCAGCTTCACAGCAGATGCAAGTCTTGCCGGCTCTGTTCTGTGCTTCAGTCGCCAGAGCCGTCCGCTGAAGAGCATGTTCTCCACTGGCTCCCTGCGTCTTTGCTTCACGCTTCTTTTCGGCTGACCGCCCTCCATGCTGTTGAGAAACAGCCGCGAAGTTCAGCGCGATCCTGACCTGTCTGCACAGCCAAGAGTCTAGATGGAGCAGGCTGGGCTTCTCTGGTTCGAGGTTTAAGACATGTTCACCCCACTCTCTCTTCAGTTCAGTCGGTAGCTTCTCTACCACACGTCTCAAATTCTCATAACTGTACAGGTCACCGTCATGCCCCAGACTCTGGAACACTACTACAGCGCAGTGGACTGTGGCTTGAAACTGTTCCAGGCTGGCAGGATCGAGATGAGAAGGTGCCGGACAGGAGAAGATGCTGTCGAGGTTGGAGTGGATGATGTCATCATCTCGGCCGAATCTGTCCTTTAGTACTCGAACTGCCTCCTCATACAGCTCCCCTCTATACAGCATCCCTCCGATGGTCCTCTGGGCCAAGCCAGTGACAGCGGCCTGCAAATGAGCCATTTTCTCCGTGGGGGTCAGAGCTGGCTGGTCATGGACCAAAGTGCGGAACAAAGCAAACCAGTTCACCCACTCGCTCGTGTCGCCGGCGAATGTGGGCAGAGTGAGTCTGGGGAGGCTGCGATGGAAAAGATGCCCAGGCTGGTAGACAGGGGCAACTTGCACCGGAGCAGCTGCACCCGGGGTAGAGTACCGTCTCGCATCCTCAGACATGGGACGGCAAAGCACGACCGGGTCGGGTGGATCACTGCTTACCACTGAATGGGCTGGTCTGGGAGGACTAGTTGGACGCTGCGGCACTGTCTCTGCTACACCCGGAGTAGAACATCGTCTCTTGTCATCAGGCGTAGGATGGCGAGGCACAGCTGAGTTAGGCGAGTCGCTGCTTGTCACTGGATCGGCTGGTCTTGAACTAGCTTGATTAGCTGGACACTGAGACACTGACTCTGCTTCCACGGGGCGGCACTCATAATCCACTGGGCACAGAACAGCTGGCTCCCCGACAAAGTCGTCCCTCCGCTCCCAGCTGAGACCTCCCTCTGCGTCCTTCAACAGCCGCTCTTCCAGCCGTGCAGATGCTTCCGCATCTTCAGCTGGCGTCTTCTCCTCATATCCTGTTCTTGCTTCTCCAGCTCCAGTCGTCGCCGAAGCTGTTGGAGCTCCAGCTGCCTCTGTAGCGGGGCTCAGCTGCAAGATAATTATTTGTTTGTTTGTTTGCGAGGCTGGTCAGTCACTGGGGCATATAGGCTGCTACGCTGTACGGTGATGGGTCATTGGGTTCTGGGCATTCAAAGAAGAATATTTAATCAGGTTGGCTGCCCGAGGCTCTCTCTCAACCCGGTTGGGACTCCCCCCTTTAAATACGTTTACTTGAAACAGAAGAAACGACACTTCACATCACAGTCACATCCCGGCCACTGCACGGAGGGGTACCTCCCACTGGATATACCACATTCACACTTCAACTCACTCTAACCTAGCCTAACCTAACCTACCTAACCTAAAAACATAACCTAACGTAGCATAATCATGCACTCAAACACACATCTCACACACACGAAAAACGCCAGACTATCAGTCCGCTCCCTCCCTCTTTACCTAACTCTCCCCCAGTGGTGCACAGTGTCAAGTTAATGCAAGCTTGTTAGATGTCATTTCCCTGCCCATGTAAAAACGTAGCTGGTGTATTAGGCTGCGGATCACCCTGCCGCCAAGATAGAACACATGAGCAGCCTGCTCCCAAAATAAAAAAAAATGGTCATAACCTCCCCTTCCCAAATAATTCCTAAATACCAGCACTGATCCTAATCTATCCTTACAATTTCAACAACGTCTCGTTCAGTGGCGACATAAGTTTGACGATCGCAGGCATGATCTGACTTGTCTAATCTATCCCGTCTCCGACTCAAGCTAGTAAAAAAACGACAGCGAAGGCCTAAAACCTAACATCAAGGGAGAATCTAATGCCAGGCCGGATTTTCCCTGCTTTGTAGAGTCCAACTCTCTTCCCCTCTCCCTTGAGCCTTAGCCGTGACCGCGACACGGCTATTTATTTTGCCCGTCTTACGCCGTAGAAACCGCCCGAGACATCGAACGAGAACGACCATGCAAGAGCAAAACATGTTGCGCGCGTCGCCCGCGATCACCATTGTTGAGCCGTCGATTTATCAATTTTTATAGAGAACCTAAAGCAAAACCTATCTAATCCCGAATTTCGTAGCATCTTCATCGCCTAACGATCCTTTGAGCTACAAACCACCTATCAACATAGCCCTAGCGCCTACTTCAACTGGAGCCCGCTCCCAGTAACCCTACAATGACCTGGTTCCCCTGAACCGACCTCCATACATACTTATTTCCCTTGCCCCTTATTTACCGCATCAGGCCAGTTTCCAGATCACCAGATCCAATACCAGATCCTTCTCCGACCAAACCTATTCAGAAAGCAGTATTCCCCCTGTAACCCAGCCGTTTTAACCTACCGTTCCGGAACAAACCAATCGCTAAAATTAAGCACCTCTAAATCACCAACGTTAAACCCCCTGCCACTGATGCTTTAACCAATAATCCTATTTGTACGTTTAAAGTGAACTTCGGCCCAAACGCTATCAGATCAATCATAATTGCACATTCAATCGATCAACCCAGACAATAACCCGTCCCTGTTTCCCATCACTCGTAAGTGTAGATAACCGTGTCGGTGAACACAACGTACACGGGGGTACGACACGCATAGACTGGCCTCGCAGCCCCGATTTATTCCCTAATATAGTACCTCTTAATTCGATACGATTTATCTTAATTCCTTTCCTCGAGTTTTACCGATAAGCATTTTGTAGAGCGATAAAAGACCGTGTTCTAATTTCGACAAATCATGTAACCCTGACAAAGCATTAACTCAACCCATTCGTATAAAAAACATTGTCCGACTTTAACAATTGGAAGTTGGAAGCGATGCCTGACCCTATTTCAATCATCGGTGATGTTTATGTCAATCCGGGTATAATTGTTAATTGTAACGGTGCTGCTGGGCGGCTTGGCGGTGCTCATGTGCCGTGTGCGTGACGAGTGGCTGTTACGGAGTGTAATCGTCCGCCTCGGAGGACGACACCGGGTGGGCAGATGTATCGTCTCCTCTTTAATGCCCGTCTGATTCCCACATGGCACTGGCTCCGTCGTCGTGCAGTACAAATTTATTTGAGAGGCTTGCAATTTCCTTACAACATATAGTCTTCACTGCTCGGGGAGGAATAGGTTCAATTTGGAAGGGATGGGATTTGTCACCGGCTGATGGAATTGCTTGGCTTTAAACCCCAGGGCAAGGCCTTCCCATGTTCCCATTTCGTATCCGTTCGATGCCAAGGGCTTTATCCCATCAGAGAAATTTATGCAATTCGAGCGTGAGTGTCTAGCTCCCACTGGTCCTTAATATAACCATTCGTTACTCCCTTTCATCCGCGCACGCACCATTTATTCGATCATGCATACATCTACGAAGAACATTCGGCTAGACAAACCGACCCTCCCGTTTCCATCTAATCCCCCCAGTGGCGCTGAAATTTGCATGGTTATCTCCTGAGGTGAGTTTATACCCTGTTTGCTACTTATGCGCGTATAATGAGGTGTTAACCCCTTTAAATCCCTGAATCCTAAGCAAATTGGCACTGGGTGTCCTTCTGACCCCATTTACGTTATTACTCTCTTCCATTGAAGCTACGTTTCTCATGCGCTCCCGGCCACTGCCTGCTCTTCAATCGCGTGCACTGCCACAGTGCATACATTTCCATCGACTACCTCTCTCTCGCTCGCGCGCACTGCCACAGTGCTGATAATTTCGCCCAAGCTCAAAGGAAACAACGGTTGTACGCACCTCTGCCGGTCTGTCGACTCGGTGCTGTGGGTGGTCCGGTTGTGCCTCAGTTGAGGGGTAAGTTCCTAAATGATAATACTCTCGGCGGAGCCACTCCGCATAACAACTCTACATTTCCATCGACCACCTCTCTCTCTCGCGCGCGCACTGCCACAGTGCGGATAATTTCGCCCAAACTCAAAGGAAACAACGGTTGTACACACCTCTGCCGGTCTGTCGACTCGGTGTTGTGGGTGGTCCGGTTGTGCTTCAGTTGAGGGATAAAGTCCTAAATGATAATACTCTCGGCGGAGCCACTCCGCATAACAACTCTACACTTCCATCGGCCACCTCTATCTCTCGCGTGCGCACTGCCACAGTGCGGACAATTTCGCCCAAACTCAAAGGAAACAACGGTTGTACACACCTCTGCCGGTCTGTCGACTCGGTGTTGTGGGTGGTCCGGTTGTGCTTCAGTTGAGGGATAAGTTCCTAAATGTTTATACTCTCGGCGGAGCCACTCCGCGAAACCATAGCTCTGTGTTTCTACTGAACACCT